GCGTTAGCGTATGCAAATGTGAATCAGCAGCCACAAGATATCACTAGGAATGGAGCTGTCAAAGAAGGAAATCACTTAAGGGCGAGTAAAAAAAATTTATTTTGTCAAGGGGTGAAAATTAGAGCTAGGGAGATCAGATATAAGCTCGAATCGATATGGTCTCTATAATAATAGGTTTGGTCACTGTTCTAATAGGTATTATCACTTTTCTAATAGGTATGGTCATTTTTTTCTAATAGATATCGTAACTTGTCTAACAGGCATGGTCATTTTTCTAATAGGTATTATCACTTTTTTCAATAGGTATGGTCACTTTTCTCATAGGTAAGGTCACATTTCTAATAGGTATTATCATTTTTCGAATAGGTATTGTAACTGGTCTAAGAGATATGGTAACTTTTCTAATAGGTATGGTTAGGCACCGCAATGAAAGGGGGCGTGGCGACCAAATTTTTCTCCCCTTTTCAGAAATCCATCTTTGAAGGCTTGTACCGGGCGTTAGAAACCCATTATTTTTTTGGTGAGAACTTGTCCCTATGTAATCGACTACGCTGAATCCAATGAAATTATCAGTTCTTCGATAACTTTATTATTTTGATTCGAAAACTTCGAAAAATAGAAGTGGGACTGACAAAGTGGACTAAAAGTGCTGGATGGAAGTTCGCGCCATTAGATTTTTTAATGGATTCTGATAGTTTATGAACTGGGGGATTGGATTTTGAAATAAAATCAAAATTCTAACGACGCCCTTGTTTCACAATTTTCAGCCAAAGTTCCAGCTAAAATAAATAAAAAATTTCAGCGATGACCCCAATTTTTTTTTGCATATTATGGTAAAACTAAGTCTTGTGTATACTTCTGCCAATTTTCAGAAAGATTGGATACCTCTAAGTAGTTTTGATACTCATCCGAAAATTCCAAACTTTCAAAATTTTCAGTTTTTGGAAGTTTTGAAGGTGACACAGGTGAGCGCCACCGATTTTCTTTTCACCATAAGATTCTACGCAAAATTTGCCACTAAGAGCAATTATAATTAAAAAATTCTATCGACGCCCTTAATGTGTTATACGTCTGTTTCCTTATCATTCACAGATCAATTTCTTTAAAACATAGGAAGAAAGCAACACCGGAAGAAGGCAGCAGGCAGCGAAGAGTCGCACATTCATATTTTCCCTCTAAAGCTACCACCGCGAGTGCAGCCGTGGCCGACTGGATAGTGGGTGCGCGCGCCGATCTGACGCAGGCGGAGGTTCGGGTCTCTCTCGCGTCTAATAGCTTTTTCTTTAATTTCCTTCACGAATTTTCCGCGCCGCAGTATTGCAAGCTTCTAAACCCCGCCCACTTTTCTGCGCACCGCAAAAAAATGAGGAGAAAGTCAGTACATTGAGGTCTGGTACAAAATGGTGTGTAACTCGGGATTGAATGAAGATTTTTCGCTGAAATTTTGGGAATAGACTTCTGTAAAGTAGGAGAAGACAATCCAACAATAAAAACTGGGAAAAATCTATTTTGAAAATTTTGTTGTGGTGCCTAGGTATGGTCACTTTTTTCAAAGGTTCCTTGCCCTTTTAAAACATTTTCAATTTTATGAAATCTAAATTGAAGATCATAATCTCATTTTTTACAGGTAGACTTAAATGACACATCATCAGATGAGCTTAT